TCCCCCATCTGCCAGGGCTCGTCATGGGGCTTACGGTTTTACCGGGAAGCTCTCTGCGCGCCGGTGTTTCGTAATTAATGGGGAAACGTATCGGACGTATCAAACTCGTATTTTGGGGTTGCTTATGACTGACCTCGTTCTCTTCTCGCAGGTTATCTGGAAAGGCTGACAGAAACCCTGTGTTAGCACAAGACATGAATTTAGCCCATGGCCTGGATCTTGCCTCTATTACTAATAACTTGGGGTGGGAAAATTCTGACACAGACCAGTGACATCTGTGCGAAAGGTGACTCTGTAGGGACGTTTGGTTTTTGCCGGCGAGCTGGATGAGCCTTTAATTTGGGGGTTTAGTTGTGAACTGCCGTAGTACCTCTTACGGTGGTAGTGAAGTCATAAAGCTGGCAGTACAATAAAGCGAGCCCTTAAGATTGTGTTTGATCTCCAAGAACTGAAAGTGCTGAATAAAATTTTCATACAACTTAAACTACGTTTTGGATCAGTTGCGTTGAGATCGGCGTTCTTCAAACTGAGACTGTTTTTCTATTTTAATATTTAAATAGAGGCTTATTTGAAAAGGCAGTATATTTTTTAAAGGCAAAAAATGATCAAGGATGGACACTCTTGCATCCACGCATCGTTTTTTACAGAACTGCTGTACAAGACTACTGTGTAAAATAGGTAGGGTATGAAGAAAAGCCTTTTGTATTCATATCGCCGTGGGTGTTTTATATTAGAAAACTGAACAAATAACTATAAAAGAAAAATCTGTGTAACCTCTCCATTATTAATTTTATGGTATTACATGCAAAACGGGTTACAGTTTTTACTTCTGGAGGCTAAAGAAGGAACATTTTACTGAAAGGAGTGCAAAACTTGGTGTACCCGAGGTAATCAAGATCACTTGAAATTGTTTTTTTGTATGAACAAGCAGGAAAATGCACTTTCAAGGCTGACTTTAATTAAAGTTCTGGTCTTTAGCAATGGAAAGCCCACAAATAAACTTCCCTCTAGGTCTAGTTTCAGACCAAAAAAGGAGTGGGATCCAAGAGGATGGGAGTCCTCCATTAAAAAAAGCAATGACAGAAATGCATGTAAATAGCAAAGTACGAGGTGTAATAAATAAATTGCCAACAATAAAGAAGGAAAACTTGGACGAATATGATGAAACTCCTGTGGAGGCTGATGGGGAAACGGCCAAGCCAAACAGTACTTCACTCTCTGAGCCTTTGAATTTAAATCCAGGTTTGAAACACACGTTGGCACAGTTCCACCTGAGCAGCCAGAGTTCACTGGGTGGACCAGCAGCTTTTTCAGCTCGTTATTCCCAGGAAAGTATGTCACCCACTGTCTTCTTGCCTCTTCCGTCGCCACAAATACTTTCTGGTCCTCTGCTCATTCCTCCGGACAGCTCCACGGAACTCACCCAGACTATACTGGAGGGGGAATCTATCTCTTGTTTCAAAGTTGGAGGAGAAAAAAGGCTTTGCCTGCCTCAAGTGTTGAATTCGGTTCTCCGAGACTTTTCACTGCAACAGATCAATACGGTGTGTGACGAACTGTATATCTACTGCTCAAGGTGCACTTCCAACCAGCTTCATATCCTGAAGGTTTTGGGAATTCTTCCATTTAATGCTCCGTCCTGCGGGCTGATTACGCTGACTGATGCTCAGAGACTATGCAATGCTTTACTACGCCCTCGCACTTTTCCCCAAAATGGCAGTTTTCTCCCCGGTAAGAACACCTTAGCCCAATTGAAAGAGACTGGCAGTGCCTTCGAAGTGGAGCATGAATGCCTGGGCAAGTGCCAGGGGTTGTTTGCCCCTCAGTTCTACCTTGCGCCGGATGACCCGTGTATCCAGTGTTTGGAGTGCTACAGGATGTTCTCCCCCCAGACGTTTGTGATGCATTCACACAGGTCCCCGGACAAGAGGACCTGCCACTGGGGGTTTGAGTCGGCCAAGTGGCACTGCTACCTGCATATTAACCAAAAGTACTTAGGAACGTCGGAGGAGCGGGAACTGAAGCACCTCTTGGAGGAAATGAAGGAGAAATTTAGCGAGAAAAATCAGAAAAGAACTTGGTCCAAAGTAAGTTCTCCTACTCCTGTAAAACTCCCAAATCTCTTTCTGCTCACGTGTAAATGCTTGCTTTGGAAGCGCGTTGCTTGGCTTTTGTAAAGGGGAATGCTTGTCAAATCAAGCCTAAGTTAAATTTGTGAGAGAGCTTCACCATGGAAATACGTTTCTCATTAAAAGGTGCGGTAATTTCTTTCCTCTTTGGACTGTAAGTAACTTCATCCGAGCTGGTTTGGCTTTGTTGGTTCTTGTTCTGTCCTAAGGTATGCAGTCTCTGGAAAATTCAGAGCTGTTGTGGAAATTTTCGTTCTCCCGTTTGACCTTTGAATATGTTTTATGCAGTGTGTGTTGCAGCAGCTGAGCGAAGCAGAAAGGAGCTTGAAAATCAAGTATTACTTAAAAATTAATTCTTCATTTGCTGTTTTCACTCCAGCACGCACACGTGCGGTGTATGGCGACCTGGCTTGCTAACCACCCGTCTCGTTACTTTGTGCGTAGGGTAATGGTGCATTGAGAAGCTGCTGTTTAGAAGCCCGAAGTCTGCTTGTTCAGCAATAGCTTTCTGTTTAAACCCGTTCCGTAGAGAAATATGCCAAAAAGAGGGGGTTTTAAGCGGCCCAAGTAGAGAGCTGTAGGCCGGTATCTTGACAATGGTTAATAATAGATGTCGTGTTTTTTCCTAAAATACTGCTGCAAGTCTGCACTGTGGTTCGAAAATACGGAGCTTATTTTTCCCTTAGAGAGCTTCTACTTTAAATAATAAGCGTCAGATAAATACTGAAGGTGATAAATGTTTTCATTGACAGAATGTACAATTTTTGGGGTATAATTTAAACTTAAGTAGTTTTTAAATGGTTCCTGCCCCAAAATTGTGGTTCTTCTCAATGTATTTGGCATTTGTATGTCTCTCTGATGGCTGCGGGTTTGATTATATATCCATTCCCTGTTGGATGTTTTGTGGTGGATTTCAAAACAGCAGCGAGAGCGGTCCAGATGGTTGAGCCCAAAAAGGTTTGACACTTTTCAGCTTAAACTTCTGAAAAGTTGATATTGCAGAAAGGCTTATTGTAGTAACAGGTATTTTTACAGTTGTGCCAGCCTACAGTAAGGGATTTTAGCAGAACATTTCCATGGAAGTCTGCGATATGATGTGCTTCCATGTGCTGAATTAGTTGAAGATGCAGGTAAATTCACAGCAGGAGGCTTTGCTTTTCATCTGGTAAAGACATGGCAGTCTTCATCCTTGCAGTGCCGGTGTAGGTCATTAACTGTAGGGTGGTGGATGCATCAGTGGAAATAGTCTTCCATGTTCATACCTATAATAACTGCTTGCCTCTTCACAGTGGCAGATCTCAGACCACAGGATCTTTCAGTTTCATGTGTACAGAGGAAAAAACCAGCTGAAATTAGCAGTAACGGAAATTTACGCTGGACCCGTGCGAATGAAAAACTTTCTGGAGTCTTCTGTTGCAGACCTGTATAGTTCTTTCTTACAAAGCAGCATGTGAAATCAGAATGAGAGAGAAACTGTGAGAACTTGAACAAAGATAAAATGGCTCCTTTTTTTATCTCGGGGATGTTCATCTGGAAAGTACAAAAGATTAGAAGAGTTTAACAGGGGAGCGTGGGAGCACAGGCTCCGTTTCCTTGTCCTGGGGAAGCTGGGGCTGCTTCAGTTGTCTTCCCCTCATTTCTGTGGTGTGAGAGGTATTAGGTACAACGTGTAGACGTTCCCTTTGCTTACGCTCCTCGGGGTATGTATTTGCACGATGTTCCATTTGCTGTTCCGTCACCTTCTTACCACCTTTGCTGAGTCAGTCCTCAGAAGCGCCGACACATCTTTGAGGTTATCTTGGAGGGCCCAGGAGGAACGGTTGCCCTTGCTAGGTCTTTGTCCGTCCAGTAACCATAAATTATTCATGAAATCCCATAGTCTTTGGGGCATCCTAGATCCTGGGCCTTGCCTTTCCCCTTAGCATTTCACTCTGAGTTGACTCACCTCGTGGTGCAAATACGCTTTTGCTTTCGGTATTGTAAGAGCAGGCAGTGTAGGCTCTCACCTGCTGTACTTACAAGGTCAGTTCCTTGCTGTTCTTCGTGCTAGTAAGAAAGCTGTAAGGTGTATGTTTCATTGTCACCGAGTTTCTCATTTTCTGTTGAGTTCTAGACTGCAGTGTGACATCAACCTGCTCGGAACAGCTGTCACTGTCTCTGCTGATCTCTGCTCTGTCAGATCCTCGTTCCCTTTGACTTTGCGACAGTTTCTGAGAATTGCTCCGCGCTAAAACTTTGTCTTGCTTCTCAGACTAAAGCCTTGAGTCAGTCACCGTGTGCAGGGCAAAGCTCGCAATGTGGAGAGTTAGCATTTCTTCTGAGTATTTTTATAAATCCCATCTCTGCTAAAACTACTGGCTTAATGATTAGGCTGAAACCACTACTTACCTCTTATTTTTTTTCTGTTCCTTGAAGAACAGCTTTGTACAACTAGCTTAGAAGAAAAATAAGACTTTTTCATGTAGCCCTTTCAAACAGCTTAGGTGGAAGCCGTTCGATTCAACTTGGATATATTGTGTTTACAGAATTTTTTAAGAGCATCTAAGCAAAACAGATTGTTAGGTAATGAAATGTATGTGTCTATATTAAAGCAGATGCTTTATATCTATTTTATTAACCTAGATGATGAGGAAGAATTCGTGTTAGAAAAAGGCTTTGTGTTTATTTACAATAATCTTTAATTTTCTTCCCTAAGTGAAAATCTGAGTTACGTAATTCATTTGCAAAATGCACACCAATGAGTAGATGCTTCAGTTGGTTTCCATTTGAAGTAGGTGGGTATGTAAAAATCTGACCTAATAACTTGAAAATACAGATTAGCTCATGTGTAAATATATAAACGTGTTAAAATGTGAGTCCTAAAACATGGACAAGATGTGATTGAGAAGTCAAAATTGGATTACTGTGTACTAGCTGTAATGTAAGCAGAAAAATCTATGTACGTGTTTTAACTTATTAGAATGATCTGAGTAAGTAGAAAAAACTTGGTAAGTGTCAGGATGAGGCTGTTTTTCTAGAGGTTATTTGGTGTATTTCAAATCTTTAAAGCTTATGAATTTCCTATTCTGCAGCGTGGCTTCCTTATATGCTCCTTCCTTTCTATCTGTGGCTGAACTGTTTTGAGGAACTGCAAGGGTGGAGTTGAATTTCAGTTTCATTGCTAGAGCTGAATTTAGTGGGCTGGAAGTTTTGACCAGAATATTGTAGATGGGATTGGGTCTCTTTCATGGTCAAGTGGCATTTGATTCTGCAGACCCTGGTACAAGCCATGCGTGTAACTGGGTACTGCCTTGACTGACAGAGATGAAGTTTCGTGGCAGCTTATTTCAGGGTGTGTGAATATAAACTTTTCTGATAACATGTCTTGCACACAAGAAATTGTGAAGATATTAGAATGCTGGGTGAAGCTTTAGGACAATAGGATTTTTTAATTTTTTTTTTTAGCTTTATAGGCATTTTTTTAAATCGAGCAACTTTCCAAAGGTACTGGGTCTGGCTGGAATGATGTTAACTTCCTTCATAGCAGCCTGTATGGTGCTGTGCTTTGGATTTGTGGTTAACACAGCCTTAGTAACACCCCAGTGCTCTGGCTGCTGCTGAACAGTGCTTGGGCAGTGTCAGTGCTTTCTCTGTGTTGTGCTCAGCCCCTGCTGGGGGTGGGCAGGAGAGTGGCAGGGGCTAAAGAGATGCTCTATGCTTCGCAATGTCATGCTCAGCAATAAAAACTGGGGCAGAAGGAGAAGAAAGGGGGTTTTGGCATCCGAGGTAGAGGTGGTTTGGAGACTGGCTGGGCTTCATTGTGCCTGTGGGAGGTGGTGAGGGAAATCCTTTGCCTTCACTTGGTGTTTTTTTTTTTCAGTTTCCTTTACCTATTAAAGTGCCTGTATCTTGACCCAGCAGCTTTCTTGCTTTTGTCCCTATCCCGCTGGGGGTGGTGGTGAGGGAGCTTCTGCGTGGGTGCTTGGCTGCTGGCTGGGGTCAACCAACCACACCTTACCCAAAAACCTGCTTCCTGAGGCTATTTTAATACAATGAAGTTAAGAACCAATTTCTTAGCTATGAGGCTTGTTTAAATATGTGGTGAGAGACCTTTCACTTGAAATTAATAGTAACTTTGCAGTGGAGCATGAGGTATCACCAGTAACTTTGACTAAAGAGTAATTCCAAAAAAACTTATTGAGACAAAGAGAACAAGGATTGTTACCCAAATAGAAAATGCACAGAAGGTTTTTAAGGTGGTATATTCTGATGCACCTGAATTAATTTTGTCTTTACTGCGGAAGGAATGGAGTTGTCGTGTTACTGCATCAGCTTTGCCCACTTCTGTAATAAAATTCGAGACAACTGAAGAAAGTCCTGTCTCTGGAACACCAGTAATTGTTCCATTTTATTGATGGATTTTATTTTGTAATAAAGCATCTGGCATGTGCTTGCTGTGATGTGGATACTTTATTGCAAAAGGCTCCTACAGCCTTTTGGGAATCCTAGTTTCTGCTTTCTATTTCTCCCCAAAAATTTTAGCATGCCTCTGGCAGAGTTCTGGAAACTCAGCAGAGCTTTTATATAGGTTTGTAAAGAGATTTTCTTTTAATTTTGTTGTTACTTTGCCCATAATGGGAAATTGGAGATTGAAGAAGCTTCTGTGGCTTGCATCACCCTGCATCTCTGCCAAAACCCCTCCATTTTCCAGTACCCCAGTTTCTCTGGTGTGTGTGTATTAATGGTGTAAATGCCAATCCACTGAGGAGCGTTTATGAAAATGTAAGTAACATGCACCTGTCTTCCAATTACCAGTTTATTTTCTTTTCTTTAGGCAGATTCACAGCAGAGCCTGGAGTTACCCCAGTGGTATCCAGTTATAAAGCAAGAAGCAGAAACTGATCCTCAACCACCCTCCTTTTTCCATCCCAGGTAACTGGATTTCCCATGTAGATCTATAAGCACCGTATGTACAGCTATTTAAATACTTTTGGCTATTTAAAGATCATTCAAATGGGAAGAAAATGTACTTGCCACCTGAACCTTTAGGAAGACTCTTAAGGAATCACACAGGAATGATTAACCCTAACTTCTTACACATTTCTTAGTGTAAATATTAACAAACTGCTTATGAGTGGTTTTTGGTACAGGACTCAAGCTGTGATCTCTGAGTGTTCTTCAGTAGGCAATACAATTGAAATGTAATTACAATTTCCCTTTTCAGAGTAGAAATGACAGAAGGTAATTTTTAATCTTTCATATTATAATACAATGCATGCATGTGGAAAGCTGCATAGGGCCTATTTACCATGAGTGCAACTTAATTTCCCTTCAAAACAAGCTTGTTAAAAGGTGTTAGAAGGCTTTCAGCCGCGCTGGAGCAGTGGCTGCGGCTGCATCGTCTGTTGATTAGTTTCCTGGTTTTACAAATGAAGTGCATTTCCTTAGCATAGCACGTGGTTTGTCATCTGCATCAACATTCTTGACATACTTCTTGCCCTCATCCCCACGGGGTTGTGCACTTCCCGTATATACGGGGGAGATCAGACTTTGATCTAGCAGCGTGCATCAGAGTAACACACACGCATCAGACTAGCTCCCACGCAAACACCTGAACGGTGGAACTTCTGTGATGGTCCCTCAGTTTGCTGTTTCTGTCAGTGCCTTCCTTCAAAACTAGGAGGAAGGAAAGTGTTGAAGATGGCAACGTTAACTCTGGCATCATGACGTGATTACCTTGGCGCTGACCTTAACACATTTGGCACTCTTTTCCCTCTGTACTGGACAACAGCTGAGTGGCTAGGTTAGGGCGGTGCAGAGGGATGCTCCCAGGAGTCCAGGAGCTGTGAAAAATCTGGATGGATTGCTCAATCTGTGTGGGAAGGAAGATCTCAGACATGCCCCAGCACTGCAGTACCCAGCTTTGCTATTAAGGAGTGAGACGCTCAGTCCCGCTGCACTGATCACTTCCCCCATCCTCGTTGCTAACATAAGGATTATGAAGATGCTAGAGAGTCTGGATTCAGTGGCATTCTAATTTCACTCTTTGCATTTAAATGAAGACTTCATCTGATTTTTTTTAATCAGCCATGTTTGGAAAATCCTCTTGCTTGATAGCCTCGAAACGTTATCTAGATAATCTACTCAGTAAAGATTAAGTGGATCGTTAGGATTTCCTTTTGCATAGGAAAAATTAAAAAGGACTTGCTTATTTTTCATTGAAGCTTTTACAGTTTGAAATCATGTTAAATTGAACTTACTGCTCTCTACCAGTCATCATTTGTTATGCCTTGCCTTTCATTCTTAATTGTATTGTTCTACTGTTGCAGTTACTACCTTTATATGTGTGATAAAGTGGTCGCCCCAAATGTATCTCTTGCATCACAATACAAGGATGTTGCAAAAACAACAGTCAGAGCTTCAGAAGTAATTAAATCTTCACCTGGACAGTCAGAGAAGAAGCTCAGTACTGGAAAGCACAAAAAAGCTGCCTCCTATCCAGAGCTTTCTCTTGAAGAACAGGAAAAAATTGACTTGCAAACTAGTGTGGAGCAGCATAGACATTTAGGTGAGTAGTAAAAATTACATTGAAGTCTTTTCAGTTTTTATACCTTATAATTTTGGAATGCTCAACACCAAGCAGATGTTTTGTGATGTCACTTCAGTTCTCCAAAAATTCTTTTGAGCTTTTTATAACTTCAATTTTCTTTGCATTTTTGTCACTCTGGAAGTTTAGTTTTCTGCGATTATTATTATGCTGTGTTCTTTCTTCTGTAGATCCGCCTGTGTCAACTCACTCTGCAAGAGGTGGAAAATCTGAACGTGTTTCTTCCAGAATCACTAGAGACTCCAGCCGTGTCAAAGTAGGTAATGATGTGCGAACCTTGTCCCCCACCCTCATGAAAGACATCAGTTGTGAAGATGACGAGGGGAAGATCATGGAAGAAGTAATGAAAACCTACATCAAACAGCAAGAAAAGCTGAACACTATTTTGCGGAGGAAACAGCAGCTTCAAATGGTACAGTGCTAATCTGAGCGCATTTCTCTTTTGATGTCAGAAAACTGGTGTTACCTCGTTGGGTCTAGAATCAATACCACAGGTTACATTCATTTAGAAACACCAAAACACACAGATAATTTCCCCCCCCCTCCCCGCTTGAATCCAGACACCAAATCTTTAATATCCCTTATGCTTGTTAGGTTTGAATCGGCTAATAATCGGTGTCTTTTCGGTTTGCAACTACTGTGTTCGAGAAGCAGCTCCTCCTTTTATTTTATCCAAATGAAAACTACTTCTTTCACTTTAAAATGTTTTCCAAGTGTTTAAGTATTTTGGCAAATATAGTTTAAGTCCTTTATTCTCAGTTTTCAGGATTTTAAAGATGCAAACGTCAGTATTCTAGGAATGGTCTTAGCACTGCTCTGTATAAAAAAAGAGTACGACCTTATTATTTATACTTGATCTATGTCTATTCGATAAGCCCTTGTTTTTAGGGGGATTTTATTAGTCTTTTTTAATAATGGATGACATTAGAAGCTGGTGTTCACTTGTGGTTTTGCCTCGTTTCTGTTTTCTGAATTAAGTTAAATACTGTCTTTACTTCTTGCATTCATAGACCAGACGTCGTAATTTAGTGTAGTTAAGCTCAGAATCTGTGAGCTCAGACAGGGCCCTAGAGCTGCTACTTTGAAGTTTTTCTGCTGTTGGAGGTAAAGCTTGTAGATGGCTTAAAAAAAAAATGACTTCAAAAAATAACAAAATGCTAGTGGAAAAAGAAATCACACACATTTATTCTGTTTTCTGATGATGCACTTCTTACATCTTTAAAGTATATTTTAGTCAATCAGTGCTGCTGCTTTCTGAGGTTCACTGCTGGAACTCGTGAACCTGTTTCTGGAAGCTCCATGTACTCGGAAGTTATAAATATTTCTTAAAGATGAAATGCTTGCTACAAAATTCCAGGCTGTCATTGATAAGTAGATGAATACCATTATCAGGCTATTGTTCTCAGTAGATAAATGGGCTCTTTTTGGCCTCATTGTTTCCAGATACACGTGTAAATTCAGTTTTTGCTTTTCTGGTCTTAAAACCAAGGTGTATGTGATCCTGATTTTTCTTGGCAGGAAGTGGAAATGTTAAGCAACTCTAAAGCGATGAAAGAACTAACTGAAGAGCAGCAGAATTTACAAAAAGAACTTGAATGTTTGCAAACAGAGCATGCTCAAAGAATGGAAGAATTTTATTTTGAGCAGAGAGACTTGGAGAAGAAGCTGGACCAAGTGATGAAGCAAAAGTGTAGCTGTGACTCCAATCTAGAAAAAGATAAGGAAGCTGAATATGCGGCACAGGTGAGAAGGGAAAGTTTGTTTCAAACCAAGCTGTGTTTAGTGTATCAGGAAATTGCGAAGCTATTGCTCAGCCTCCTTAAGGTTTTGTCTTCTCCGTGTGTTGTGATACCATAGACAAATACCAAAATAGATCACAGTGACAGCAATATTTATTTCCCTGTTTCTTGATTGACACTGAGGTAGAATGCAACTTACAGAAACACATATTGTTGATGAAATATTAATCTTAAACATAAGGTCTGTTACATCCTCATTTAAAACAAATTGCGTTTTTAAGGTATATAGGTTTGCCCGTATTATAGAATTAAACATTCTCAGTTATAGAAATAAGCTATTGCCTTCCTTTTACATTAAAAAAAAAATCCAAACCCTTTCAATGGCCTTTCTTTCAGATTAGTAGTGTACCTCGCTGCTCTTTCTCTTCCTTGGTGGTAGAATTGTCTGCACTACTTGACGAGCCGCCTTCTGTGCTCTGTCAAAGCATTTGGTGAAGAGTTCTCTTGGAAATGAAAGTCATATTTTTGTCTCTCAGTTCTACCTCTTGGGTTCGTGTGTCAAAACCTATGGAGTTCGGGGTTTTTTTCTTTCATTTTCCTTTTAACTTTTACTATTGCTTCTTTATGTTGGGGGTTATTCATGTCATTCCAATGGGAAAAATATAGTTAATGCCAAAGGGAGCCTTGGAATGCCCCTTTTCAAAATCAGTTGCAGTTACAGTTAAATGTATAGTGATGCATTTTATACCCTGTCACAGAAAACTAGTCTTCATAGCTTTTTTTTAAGTAAACAGTATCTAAAGCTTAAGCTCAATGAAGCTTTGTGGTTCTTTGATCATAGCAGGAAGTACTTGAGAGACAGGTTTTGGTGTTTTTGGGGAGTAGGCAGAGACTAGCATCATAAATCCTTCTCATGAATTTAATTTCATGACATCCCACTCCGCAGATTCCTAGCCTTTGCTGGCAGAAATAATCCTCTCTGACTAAGGCCTGATTTACTAAACATCTGGTACAAGCCCTATTACTGCAAGTAACAACATGTTCTAATTTATGAAGATAACCATGTATAGCATGTTTTATATGGCTTGTGTAGCTTACTTTCTTTAGAGGGTAAAACCCATAGGTTGTTCCTCAAGGAGACTGGCTGATTGTTTCTTTTGAAGTTAGACTTTGAAAACTAAATACGTTCCTGGCATGAAAGTTTACTCTGTTATTACCTGTGTGGTAGAGCTATTTGCAACATATAATTTCAACGTTTTTCTCCATTTATCACATCTTGCAGTAGATTTTGGACCCTAGGTTCCAAGCAGTTGTCAGAAGTACCCGAGCTAAACAGAGGTCCTGGCAACAGGTGACTTCCCCAAGCTGTGGGTACAGCATTTAAAAAATGCCTTAGTCCAATGTCTTCTTGAAGCAGTTGCCCAGGCTGCCCTTCCTCTCTTGAGAGCTGTGGACTGGGAGGAACCCTCTTTGTACATTAAACAAAATTAATAATTTAGGGTTTGCAACTTGCTTAAGTGTCTGTTCTTCTTTCTAGGCCTGTCTGAAGATGCATTAAGTGTCTTCTCCCCCTTTTTGACTTCTTTATTGAATTGTCTTGTTTAATTGTTGCTTTACCCTGTCAATCACAATAGGGCAGTATAACCAGTACTGGAACCTTTTTCTTAGAGCTGGAAATCGAAACTCAAGCAGAGACGTGCTTATCTAGTACGTGCTGCGACATGCAGGCAGTGGGCATTATCGTGCTGCAACAGTTCACTTAATCAAAGTAGAGGAGTCAGGAGGCTTGCATGAACAGCCTGGTGCTGTCCAAGAACTGCTTAAATATTTCTGATGATAGGAAGAACCATTTCAATATTTCCTGTTATCCAAGTGGAGATGGAAGTCCACTGAACGCGCCGTTTCTCTAAAATCAGCCCAGCAGCTCCTGTGCCCAGTGCATTTTACAGCAGTTGGCGAGCACCAGTGACCCTGTGTGCTCCTGGCTCCTTTCGTTCTCCTGAGCTGCCTTCCTCATCTTCAGTGAGGGCTATGCGTAGTGGTGATTTAGATCAGATAGATACCTGCCATTACAAAGGCAGATGAATTTTTTAGATTCAGTGAGGTCTTTTTGTAAGAAATAACACCTTAAATCAAGGGTAGAGAAGATCACTGGTTTCCATTCTCCTCCCTGCTGGCAGTGTACCTGTAAGCAATTTGACAGTAACTTTCCCACGCTTGAAAAATTCATCAGACATTTCCAGATCTCGCTGTAAGTAAGTTTTGATGACACTCCAGCAAGTTTGAGTTTCACTGTACTCCAAAAATGAAAAAAAATATTTAATTTCTGCGTTTAAACACAAAATATTTCACAAAAAACCACTTGAGTGGACTCATATTTATATTTGGGCACACACATAAATGCACAGGCTGTTATGTTCAAGGTTGTCTGAATGTCATTTCTGGTAATTCTGTTTCATTTGTACTAAAGTGTCTCCAGAAACAGTGTTGGTGGTTTTCTTTGTTCTAGAAATGCATTCAGGATTTGGACTAAAGAACTAATATTTTGTCAGGTAAGACAAATGAACCTGGGAAATGAAAAATTGCAATTTATTCTGGGATTTGTGAGACATCTGATGCAGGCATCGTCACAATCTTCCTGACAGATTATATCTATTATTGGCACGGTCTAGTGTGACAGTTCATATAACTTTATATGTATTTTAAAATTAGACTTTCACATTTTTTTTATTATAGTATGATGTTTATGCAACTTTGCATGTTGATGTCTTTTGCTAATGGTGTAGTAGGTAACTGTATAATTCTTGATAATGGTAGAAGATGATCTGGTAAGTACCGTTGAACTGGAGTACTTTTATCTGATGTATAAGGTGATCACCAGTGGCATCTTGAAGTGAATAGTCGACGTTTACAGCTAAGTTTGCTAAAATTTGCTCTGCTTCTCTGTCTCTCCTCTCTATTTTACAGCTAGTAGAATTGAGACAGAGGCTGGATCACGCAGAGGCAGATAGACAAGAGCTTCAAGATGAACTGAGACAAGAACGAGAGGCAAGGGAAAAGTTAGAGATGATGATAAAGGAGTTGAAGCTACAGATCTTGAAATCTTCAAAAAATGGTAAAGGAAAATAGAAATTGGAAGAGGAAGCATGACTGTGTCCTTCAAACAGGGTGTTTTGGTTTTTAATGAATTGTGAGCAGTTTCTGTGTGATGAGAAAAAGTATTCTTTACAGATTTCTATTTCTCAGACAAGTCCAGATGAAGATTATACATATATATAAATAAATAGATAGGTATACATTTTTAGATTTTCCTAACCAATGAAAATCTGCATTTATTTGTACTGGTGTTTTTCTCAAACAATGGAAAAAATATGAAACTCTTGATTTAGAGTGACCAGTTTCTGTCTATTTCTAATGCAGTCTTGAAGACTCTATACCTTTTAACATTGTCTGTTAAAATGTATGTGGTGACCTTTATTTTGCTCTCAATTGCACATCCAGTTACAAAAGTACATTAAAAACATTCTGTATTCTTCAGTGTCGAAAATAGTTTGGGTTTCAGTGAGAATTATGTGTTCTCGAACTGGGGAAAGTAAAAGCAGCTTTTCCTCTGTAAGGTAATACTCAAGATTGCCATAATGATAGATGGTTGATCATCATAAGTGATTTACCAGCATTCTTCCCATAATTTCATTTTGTGAAGTCAAGCTGACCTTTTCATTATTTTCTATTTAACAGCTCATTATCAATCTAAAGAGTTTTAGAGCCAGCATTTGCTTGCTTGTGCTGGAAGAAGAAAACATTAGGGGTTTTTTGTAAATCAAAAAAAATTACAATTACAGTGGAATCTTTGGAAATTGAAAATTCACATACTTTCTTTTGTTTTCTTCTATAAAGTATAGGTATGAAAGAAATAGTAATAAAAGGCTCAAAGGTGGGGCTTTTCCTTCTAGAAACTGAGAAAGCTTGGCTTAACTGGTTTTCAGATACTAATGCTTTCAAGAAAAATAATATTTATTTAAAAATATGTAATAGTTTCTTTAGTACCCTAAGCCTCCACGCTTTGACCTTCTTGCCAACTTGTGGATTTTTCTTTCATGACATAGAACAGGCCTTAACTGACATTGCGATAATAGCTTAAAAAATAAAATTCCGAGACATGGCACTTTGAAAATCATTTTGATAGTCTCTGTATTTGAACGGCATGGTCACGTTACCATGAATTAAGAAATACAGCATGTTCGTTAAGCTATAACATTTGAAAATGTGTAATTGTACAGAATTACTGTTTTATGTATATATAATGTTTGAGTACTTCAGAAGTCTGGTTCCTAGTGGATTAAACGCATGACTACAAAGTTGGATGAAGAAATACTTCTTTGCACTTCTCTCCAAAAAGTTTGACGCGGCTGACAGATGTTAGCCGATTATGTCAGTGACTAGGAATACTTGGGTAGTTCTGGTATTTCACTACATGATTTTAACCTGTGCTTTAGCTTCTGTTTTTGAGGTACTTAGGTTTATTGTGCTCTTCATAATTCAGTTAATTTTGGATGAAACCACTAGTAAAAGCCTACATAGATTTTATTTTTTTTTTCCCCCCTGAACTAGTAAAACTGAAAACTTTTGAGTTGTTTTTTGTTTCTCTTTTAGTGCTATAACAGGACTGAGTATCACAGAGAAAGATAAAATTGCACATGTCTTTAAATTGAATGAGAAATGAGGTGGTAAATTAAATGCCATGGAGTCATAAGATGATTGTTTTATAGCCGTGTACAATTTTGTTTATGAACTCTGTGTCATATTTACACTGACAAGTAAAGCAGGTTAGATGAAAAAAAAAATCCAACCATTTTCTTTGTCAGTGTTGGTCAGAAAAGAAGATCCAGATGACGTTTTTCCCTTCTTGAACTCCATCTCCAAATTTTTGCTTTAAAAAAAAACTGAAAAGGAAAAAGCCTGTCTTTGCAGCATGCAAGGAAAGGCGCTGCCTATAAATGATTCTGGTTGTGTGTGCCCCACTTGCTTTAAAAGCACAATGAATGTTTTATTGTAACAACCACCAGAGTAGGCAAGAATGTTGATAAAAGTGTGATTATTAGGGAGTGGAGCTTGAAGTAGTCCAGCTTGATTGACAGAACCTACGTTGGGTTAGCTAGATGGGCGAGTGAGAAAACGCCGTCCTGGGAAACGGAGAAGTTTCATCCGGGTGTTATTAAAGGATCAGAAGATACCGTGTGTAGTTGCTTTTCGGGGTCAGTGTTTTGAACCAGGCTTGTTCAGTTGTCGGTGTAGGTAAGGCCGTACGGGCTCGTTTCATACAGCTGCAGGAAGTACCTTACCACAGTATGTATAGCTTGGCCGCTGAATGTATGGAATCCTGCTGGGATGATTATTATAGCAGAATGCTGTACAGTCCGTTTCCATCCGGGTCTTGTCCACGTTACGTGACTTCTGCTCAAATTCCCCCTTTTGCCACCGGTTGGTCCTCAGCCGTGGCCGTTGCAGCGGAGGGCTGGTAGCCCGGTCCCTGTGCCTCGGCCACCTCTCCACCAGCTGTTTTCCTGGCTTGCGCTGTATTTTAGGCGCATATGAAAGTGCTGGTGGCCACAGTTAGTACTGGCCTTGCAAGGACTCAAGCAGCTGTATGAAGTTTTAGCAATTCCAGCTGCAGATAAGGCCTCCGACTTGCTTTAAAACACCTGGCTGGAAAAGCGAATGGAACGTTTATTGAAAGGACTTTAAAAGTAGCTTTGTAAATACGCCATTTAGTTAATCTGAAGTTAGAATGCATTTTAAATTATTGTAATCCTCTTAAAATTCTTAAATATTACTTTCAGGCTCTTTACATAACAAATAATTTTCATATGTGTAGACTTAATTTTATACTGATTTTAAGTAATAATGTATACATAAATGTGCCATAGATTTTGTGTGTTCACAGTCTTTGAAAGATAGTTTTTTAGTAAATTGTAAATAATACTGTACAAGTTCTAGAACAAATATATGTTGACCTTTTTTCACTACCTTATGCTAGCTATATTGAATGGTTTATTTTACAGCCTGACACAGGACTTGGAATGCACACTTACGGGCCCTCACTTCAGTGCACACTTAATGGTAGAAACGAATTCTGTCATTAGGTCCTCACTTTTAGTCAGAGCATGCTCATTTCATGTAGTATTATTTGTTTTGCCTTCACTTATTGCTTGCTGATCTTTCAGGCAGGAAGTCATTTTCCCAGATAGTTGTGACATGAAGCCTTTAGGACAAAATCCTAGAATTGTCCATAATTTTGAAAGTTGCATTATTAAACGCCTAGACCAAGATCAAAGCTGCCTAGCGCACCTTTTGGAACAAAGTAGGTAGGTTTCAAGGTGAATATCTAGTTTGCACCTATGCTTTTCTAAAAGAGAACTTTCTCATGCTTTGTGTACTCTAACCAGCAACAAAATGTAAGAGCTTGGAGAGTGGAACTCTTGTAATTTTGGCAGTCTGAAAGCACCCTCGTTCGCAGTGTAGCCATGTATCCCTAGACGAAAGAGATTTTTATCTAAATCTCCAAAATTAACTAAGTCTGTGTTTTTGTTTTTGTAAAGCATATCGTTTAGTTTGAGTATTTAGATAAATGTAGTTACGTTTCACATTCTTAAACTAATTTTATTCTATATTTAATATATTGATAGCTTAGGTGTAAAATCATTTGTATATAGCAAAGGCATAATGCAATTAGTGAAGTAGGAAAAGTTGAGTGGGAGCATAAAGCTACTGGTGGCCTGAAAAAATAAGTCTTGGCCCATATTTTAGAAGTCACGATGTTTTATTCATACATTCTTGTTTTATATTGGGGGAGGGGATAGCTAGAATGTGTTATGAAATTTTTGGAGAACTTCCCTAGCATTAGTCGTGAAGTTGGCCTTGAAGTGCTGTCACGGTCAGCTTCCTAGAATTCACTTGTTTGTAGAGTATATATTTTGATTGTCGGTAAAGAAAACAACCTTGTATTTTTTCTGCACTTAATTCGTGTAATTAATCCACACAACAGTGTTTTCTGTAACGTGGTGAATTCGACAAAAGACGTAATTACACCTACCTGTTAGTCTGTGCTTGCAATATTTCAGTCGTTTTAGTTCAGCTGTCAATAGTAAGCAGCAGTAAGCTGCAAATTTCAATTTCCTTTTTGCTCATTACGTTTGTAGTGTGAGTATTCATCAGTTTTCATTACAGAAAGCTTGTAGAATTTTCTGTTTGTTGCGTATTTCTATTTCAAGAAGACATTAATTTTTTAGCTTTTGTGAAAGCAGTTACTGCTTCCAGATTGCACGACAATTTTGTAGTGTGTCTCCATTACTTTGAAGATTGTTTTTTTTTTCCAGGGTTAGTGGTTCAGTTGGAAAATGCTTGAAAAATGAGTTTTGAGCACTTCATCAAGCACAGCAAACAAATGGTATAAAACTTTGCTATTTGAAAATCGATTAAATGTAAGAATAACAATTGAATTTTTTTTTTCTTCGAATATAGATACCTCACTTAAAGGAAAGCACAGCTGTACTGTATTTAAACTAATTCTAGGAAATAATAAAAAGTTGGTCTAAAATATTTTGTTGCCATTATGTTGCTTTCTGTGATTGACAAAATCTGTTTTTGTGTTTTCATACTCACTCTCGGAAGTATTTATTGATGTTGACATGCCAGTATAATTATCTCAAATTACAGAAAGTAGCTGCAAAACAAGCGTCTTTGTTAGCTCAAGGCAACAGGTTGAATGACGATTCTGAAACCGTAGTAAAAAGCCTGTGAAAAACGATCAGTGCATTCAGCAGTTTTTAATACTTTGCCAATGATGTACAGTCTTACCGTCAGAGTTGCTGTGGTTGCGTTACATGACACACAAAACTGTCCTCTACCTCACGTGAGATTTAACAGATATTTTATATGGTTTTAGTAAACAAGATGCATCTATCTGGTCACTTAGTTTACAAATTTTGAATTGTATTTATTGAAACATGACATACTGTGCTCTTAGCTTATACCTCAATTGTATTTTGTGCTGTTATCCATTTTCATGCCTTGTAAAATACCTGTATAGATTGTGGATTCAAAAACAAATAAAGAACTGTAATGTCAGAACACTTGGCTTTGTAAGATTTTGGGTCTTTTTGACAGATAAGCGTGGTCACATACGCACGCTTGAGATATTCTTCCTTCCCCTCAGACCAGAGCGAAAACGCTTTGTCCTTGTTTTAAGGTACTGTCCTTGCACGTAGGAAACCCTGATGGTGTTTCAGATTGTTGCAAACCTTTAGTTCTACCAGGTACTTGCCTGTATTTTCCAGCTGAAGAGGGAAACGAGCGGTATTAACCAGTTGAAGATGAAATTGGTAATGTTTTGATGAGCTTAGCCTTTAATATGGCAGAAAATGGACAACCAGCTGTACCACTTAAAGCATTAACCCTGTTTGTTCCTGCATCCCTTGTTGTATTTTTATACTGCTGTATTCGCAAGCGAGGAAGAAGCTGTCGCGCTGAAAACCCTGCAAAGAAAAAGTTCGTGGTGAGACATTTGTATGAGAAAAAAGTCACGGGGTGTTGATAGCTTGTGCAAGTACCACTGGTTGCAACACATGTCATTTGTCTGAGAAAACAATGCTGATCAAGGAAAAACTGCTGGGGTGATAAAGGATTGATTTTTAAGGTGTTCACACTGCTGCTGAAATAAATGCGTGTGTAGCACTTGCTTTAAAACCAGCAGCTTTTAAGAATATTGCCCTAAGTGTGTCAGTTCACTTGGCGTATCACCGGTAAGCCGTCCTTGGTTTCTTATTTTATTGATCTTGTGACTCATTGTTCACTTGTCCTGTACTGACTTATATTCACTTAAGTATCCGTGGTGCTATTTCTAACACTGACAAAACAGTAAATGCTTCCTGTCTCTCTCGACATTCATGAAATAATTCACACTGTGCCCCGTGGGCACCAGGTCGAGCACCGTCGAATAAATAGGACTGGCTACTGAAGTGCAGAATTCCCTTCTTGCCTGTTGAGCTGCTGCACGCTCTGACAAATGCATTTATGAAGGAAGACGTGGCAGTGCAAGAAGGTTTTGTGGTTTAGGGAGCTGTAACGGCGGGAGACTGACTTGCAGGAGGGTGTGTCCGCAGCCTGCGAATTCGTATCTCGCAGCATTTAAAAACATCTTTTTTTGTGCATTAGGACGGGCCTGCGCTATCACCGTGTAGAATGCTTCTAATCTCAGCCTTGGGATGAAAAGGGATATCAAGATGTTGCAAAATTTTCTGGTATTTTGAAGAAAAAATTAAATACTTGGGAGTTTTGGCGTGGTTTGGAGAACACGCGTGGGTTTTAACCTCCAAAGGACTGTGTGGTGATGGTACCATTAGATGACAGAGGCTGGGATCAGTCATCCCAAAGTGGTTAAGTATCCTTATGCCTGGTATCAGTCAAAAAAGCAGGATTGAGCTGTGTGCATTTGTGCTTGATATAAGCAGATCAGATGTTTAATTTACAGGATGATTTAAAGTTAGATGGAGGAAATGCTAGACTGAAAAAATGCCAACTGAGTCGGCGAAGGGGAGAGGCAGGAACGTGTCCGTTTGTCAGCTCATCTCCTTCCAAATTCAGGAGGATCTGCCTGATGCAATTGCGTGGTGCAAGAAGTGGAACAACTCTAGTTTCTCGAGAGAGACGGCAAGTTTATCTCCTGAAGAATAAATAAGCAGTAGTATTTGGGGAAAGATTAAATCCGCCTAGAACCGATCCCTAGACAACATGAAGATGGCGGTTGGGTACAAGGAACAGCCTGCTGCACCTGAAGCGGGTGCAGTAGGAGAATAAGCTATGTAGAAAGGTGGAATCGCATCGTGAAAGCTGATGGCAGCACGGCTTCACAAAAATACCGTAAACCGGGTATAGGGAAAAACTCAAGGAGTAACCAGCGATATAAAACAAATGTGAAAACAACTATTAAATTTCTATTTATTATAAAAGCTCCTCTTCAAGATAATTTCCAACTATCTATGTAGTAACTCCAGTGTTCAGATGAAGCTTTGACAAAACAAAACTCTGGCCTTGTGTCCTTGAATTTTGAATCGAAGGAACATGTGACAAATGAAGCTGAGGATGGTCCAGTTCATATTTTTCACTTTATTTGCTAAAGAATGGGAAAAGGTACTGTTGGAAGAAGAGCAGGATGTAGTTCAATCATTCACCTTCATCCTGGCGTGTTGCTTCCAGTATTTCTCTCTCACTAACAGCTCTGGGAATGAATCAAATTCGTTGTTCTGTCGTTTTTCTTGCCCAGTTTCTGCTTCCCCATGCAATGCGGACAGCTCCCCACTAGTGGTCCCTCCAGCCATGCCTTATCAGCGCAGATCCAACCCTTCCCTTTGCAAAAGCACAAGAGCTCAAGGACGCACAACGATGACATTTCATTCGGGAGGTGTTGGTGAAAACCCAAAGTGAAGTGAGGGAAATATCCTGTCTGCCTATTCCTCCTGATGCAGAACGGGCTGTGGAATTTCTCTTCTTTTCACGTCTTGAAGTGGGCTGTTCCTTGTTCTGTCAAGTACATTAAAATTTACACCCGTGATGAGTCTGGGCAGAAAGCTGCTCATTTTAATTGCAGCATTCAAAAGTGGAAATAAGGTGCTGTTAAACACACATTGAAGACTCCGTGAGTGTCAGTTAATACTTCTGCAAACCCTGGCACAATCGGAGAACACAGCGATGGGTCTCTCTATGTTTTTGCAGTTACTGAAAACATCAGGAAAGACCCAAGATGGATTTTTGTCCTTTTACTGCAGCCGTGCTGATGGCTTTGATGAGATGATCGATTCCACTTCTTGAGTAACCCTGTCCGCCCCGTTTCTTGCCCTGTCTTTCCATGAAGAGCTACCGGTGTGATCATTTGTCTTCAGCTTGAAAACACTGCCTTAATTTTTCTCCCTTGATGCTAAATTTTGAATAGCCAGGCTGTTTGCATTTGAATAAAGCAGCCTGGTTTGTTTTTCAAGCTCGGGTGGGTGTAATTCTGCGTCTCCTCCTCTCCACACCGTCCTTCCCCTCCAACTCTCTCGATGAACTGGCAGAAGTTGGGGCTCCCTGCTCGCTCCTCCCATGCGTTGTGGGGCTGGAGGCAGCTCTAACCCCTCCCAGGGAGGGAGCTGGGCAGAGGCAGCTGAGTGCCTGCAGCAGTGCCTGAGCAGGGACCTCGTCCTACCAAAGCCTCGTCCCTCCTACTCACAGCCCGCAGTAGGTCCCAGCAGCCGGGATCCGGAGCAGGGAGCTCGCCGGCCGGCTTCGCTGAACCCCTGCGGGTGCCCTCCTGTCCAGCTCGCCCCACCGAGGGATCGATATGGTGGCCACCTGCCTGCACCTGGCCGGATTTGTCTGCAGTTTTATAGGGTGGATCGGGGTGGTTGTGGCAACGGCCACCAATGACTGGGTGGTGACTTGCGGCTACACCATCACCACCTGCAGGAAAATGGATGAGCTGGGATCCAAGGGGCTGTGGGCAGACTGTGTCATGGCGACGGGTCTCTATCACTGCAAGCCCCTCGTGGACATCCTCATACTGCCAGGTACGTGCGCCCCGTCCTCCCCCTTCCCACCCGGAGGTGAGGAGCCAAGCCTTGCTCTGAGCAGCACAGGTCCTGCTGCCGGAGGAACTGATGCTGAAGCTCCTTCAACTTCATCAGCACAGGAGATGGTCCATTAAATATGCTAAAGAATGTGACTGGTAGCTCTTAACATGATTCTCATTAAACGATACCTGGTTTTAGTCGTATTCAAGTGTCATGTGTTCTCTGTGGCTATTAAAGTCCAATTAATGTCTAATCGTTGCTCTTAGTAAACTCTTGCTGTTCCTTTCACATCTTGCATCCAGATTGCATTGCAAAACATGTCTAGTATATTGAGGTATAACAGAGTACTTCAAGTTTTGCTTTGAGATGATGATGAACTGTTACAAATGTTAAGGTTCTATTCCTTACAATGATTTGGAGTATAATGAATGTTCCAGCATCTATTATTAAAGCTGCTATGGCTTTTAATCTTTTGGAAGATTGTCATTAGTCTTGATGGTCTCACCCGTTCTAAGGCAAGACAGAACTTTTACATGGCAAACATGTAACTACATTTAACTTGTCTTGATATTTTCTAATTATATAGAAATTTTCATCTATTTCACTGCAAAGCCAAAATTAAGCAAGGTGTTTAATCAGTATTAATATATCTTTTGAGCTAATTAAACCTGCCAAAGTCTTGTGTGGTCTTGTCCATGTAAGTTTAGTTAATGATCTTGCCTGTTTCAATCACTGTTAACTCTGTCGCACTTCTTCATTACGCTGTGTTTTGGATTGTGCCTCCTCTAGCATGTCAGAGATGCCTCTTCCAAAGCTGACAGGGTAGAAATAACCATTCCTTGTAGTTTTCTTTCATGTTTCCTTATTTATTTCTTTAAACTGTTGTGGAAGTAACAGATTATTTCCAAATTTCTCTCTGTTACAGAGTCTAGTCTGCATCACACAGTGCTTAGCAGCGTTGAATCTCTCAGACTAGCTCCTATTGTCCCTTCCTCTGTGTACATATACTTTTCTTTTAGTAGGTTTACCTTCCTTGTTGCCAGGATCATTCAATGTGATCTGGCACAGAAGACAGAGAAAAGGCTTGCCCCAAAGAAATGTTCTTGAATGAAATTTAATAAATAGGTCTTTCAGCAGCAGAGAGCAATGCTTCTCTCCAGCAGAAACAAATCACAAAACAAGATGCTGCTGCTTGTAAGCTGTTTGATATTCACAGCTTTCCACGAGAGGGAAATTTGTCCTGGTGTGCCCAATAACTGAAATGTATTGAGAGTCTTTCATTGCCTGAGACAAGTCTTTAAAACGAATGTGGTTTTATTCTCATTTAATCGGGATTGACTGCACAGAAATGACACTGGGCACTGCCATCTCCTTTGTTTAGGGTCTCATTTTCTGCCCTGAACTCCTCAGGTAACTTTTTTTGTTAAGTTTCCTCTTGGAAAAAATCAGGCATATATTCAATATACCCAGAGACTACATTTCCAAGAACGGTAAAATCCTTATTCCTGGTTTCTTACCTGTATGTCAGCTGGACTTGCTTGAGGGATGTTTGCTGGTATTGTTTGAGGCATCACTCACCTCTGTGTCTGCACATGGCAGCTTCATTTTGTTAACATGAGGAGAGGGAGAAAGCCGGCATGCTCACTCTGCTGAGAGTGTCCCGAGAGCCTGTGGAGGCTCATTGGGCACTGGAGCAAATCTAACACTTGTTCTTCTTCTTTTACATGCAAGAAGTGACCCGGGTTTATTTATTTATATAGAAGTTTTATATAGGCGCTATAAATTCTATATAAAGTATATTAAAATTAAATTGTATATACATTATATATAAAATACATGAATTTTTAATACATTATTGTACACAGATCCTCACAGAGTGGTAAAAATGTCACAGCCCTGCCCGGCATGCCCACAGCCCCCATCCCCTGTTGTTCCTCGCTGCCTTGTGTCAGGCTGCTGCTGCTGCACAAAGGCAGGCAGGACAGGGGTGGTAACTGATGAAATGCCAGGGAATCCCATGGTGTCCGTAGGGACCCAGAGGAATAACGTGGCCCTTGGTTATGGCAACTCAAGCAGCTCAAAGTGCAGGCATTTCTTCTCCCTAAGGAAGAGCTGTGGCAGCAGTCAGCTTGAGCCACAGGTCTCCTCTGAAATTCTGCTGCCAGGCTGGACTCCTGAGGTGCAGCATTGGGATGTGGCTGGGCTTGCCGAGCATCCCTTCTCCTCCCAGCTCAACAGCCCTCAGCTCCTCAGGGCAGCTGGTGGTAGTACCTCACGGGCCTGCATGCTTCAGTAATGGGTCTCGAACTATTCAGCCTTCCTCTGGATGACTGTGGACCCCCTCTGCTCACAGCAAGCTGCTCTTTAAGGCTTTAAATCCTTGTTACTTAATCAAAGATCTCTCTATGAATAGATTCAGGAAAACTCCTTCCTAGCTGTTTCTCCTACTTTCCCCTCCCGTATTTTCCAGCTCCATGGTTTCTCAGTGTCTTGCTGGGAAGAGCTCATGTTTTCCAGGCAGTGCTCTTGGTTCATTGGGAAATTTTGAGCCCACACATCCTGTGTTCATGCACTACCCACCGTACTGAAGTCTCGTTGTCTTATGCCTGGTGAAGATTTAATGTTTACACAAAGGATCGAGCCTGCCTCCCCTTCTCCATGCAAGTCTTGGGAACTAATCAAACAGGAGCCTTTGTCCAAAGGTCTCCTTCTCTTGTGCCAAATAATGAAAATCCTCTTTCCTTGCCTTGCCAACAGGGTATGTCCAAGCATGTCGAGCACTGATGATCGCTGCCTCCGTCCTGGGTCTTCCCGCTATCTTCTTGCTGATCACGGTCTTGCCCTGCATTCGGATGGGCCATGAGCCTGGAGCTGCCAAGTACCGGCGCTCCCAGCTGGGAGGGATCCTCATCATCCTCCTGGGTAAGTTGCCCATCAGGTGTGGAGAGCCAGAGGTCTCTCTCCGATTCAGGATGGCATGGTGCAAGTTGGTTGAGCACGTTCACCTGAAAGCACGGTTGTCCAGGCTGGGCTGACCCTGAAGTTTTCCAGCATCGCTGCAGTCTGTGGGGCGAACAAAAGGCACGAATGGGGGTGGAAGGACAAAGACAGAAGGCAGGGAGCGAAGCAGGGCGAAGAGGAGAGGGCTGCGAAACCCTCCTGAGCATTGTCTGGTGGAGTCCTCGGTCACAGTCACCACCTGTGCCTGCGGGAGGGCGATAGCTGTCGCACACAGGCAGCTGCCTGCGGACACCGGTTTTGCTGGTTTGCTGTGGAAGTGATGCTATTTTTGGAGAAGGGTCTAAACTTCCAAGCTGCTTTACAGGGAATGGATAGCTTCCAAATTTTCCCTGGGCATGCAGCTGGGTCAAAGTAAGCTGAGATGTTTGGGAAGGGAAGCCCACGGCTGAGGGGGTGCTGGTCCTGCGGGGACAGCAGGGGAGGGAGCAAGGAGGTGGCGTGGACCTGGGAAGAGGGCTGGCATGTCCCCTGTGCCTCCCAACCCCCTCTGGCCAGCCTTCCCCTTGGCCTCCAAGTTCCCCTGGGAATTTCTTCCCGTCCTCAGTGCCTGTGGAGGAGATGATTGTTTTGAGCAGCCCAGACTGTGGAGCTCATTGTCCCCAGTGCAACACCTGCATGTTCTTGAAGCCTCGTCATCTCAGCAACAGGCTGCGGTGCCTTGTTTTTACCCGTCTGTGTGGCAGAGGAGGAGGGGTGACGGAAAGTGGCCTCTTTGTGTGGCGCTGCTGCTCGCTGGCAGCCAGCGCTGACATCATGCCCGTCTTCTTTCTTCTTCTTCTTCTCCTTATTTTTTTTTTTCAAGTGGGCACTGGATAGAGCTGCATGCTCGGAGGGCCTGTCCTCTGGACACTCCTTCCTTGCAAGCAGTCCCTCCTCCGGTGCCTTGGTGAGAAGCAGACAGTACAAATCGGTATGTCCAAAATCTAAGGGATGGAGACCAAGGGGCCCTTCCGATGCCTGTGGGGTTTAAGGGCACATTGCCACAGCTGGAAGTCTAAAATCAGCTTTATAGGGCCTGCTTAAGACATCCCAATCATGGACAGCCACTTTAGAGAGCTGTTGGAATGTGGCCTTCATCCCTGTCCTGAAACCTTGAGTCATGTATTTGAGCTTGGCAAAGTGAAAGAAAAAAAGTGTTGGTTTTTTTTTTTCCTGTGAATGAAATTTTAGTGTTGGAGGAGTCTGCTCTGCTGGATTTCCCCTGCCTGGGATGGGGGAGGCACAGCAGAGCTGCAGACATGAATTTTCTGTTCCAGTCAAGGAGAACCATGCTGTAGATCAGCCCCGTTTGCGTGGCTGCAGACGTGAAGGCAAGAGAATCGCCCCTAAATCCTGAAGGGCGACAGGATGACAGGACTATAGGACCAGGACACATATGGCAAAGATTTTGCAGTCACAGTATTGGGTAACGTTGGATTAGAATAAATGAAAACCCGTATCTTGCAGTGTTGCACCCGAGTTTGGGGTCTAGTGTGCCCCTTTCCCATTCTGGGAGTGGTGTGACACCGTGAAGGAGAATAGATGTAGGAGGATGGAGGAGAGGAGTTGTGGTGCTCCAAAAGCCAGGCTCCTTTCTGCCTCAGAACATGTTTGTCCCACTAAGTAGACCCTGTGAGGAAAGGAAATGTGTGTTTACAGAGACATCGGCTCTGTAAAAGGTGCTCTTTGGGTCAGGTTTGGACTTCTTACCAATTTTTACCCCTGTGAGTTTTGAAATATCTGCAGGTGAAGTGGTTTGCTTACGTCGGTGATGTCCTGAATGATCTGGGCTGGGAACAGCAGCCTGGTCACAATGTTTTGGTCACAATTACAATAATGTTTTAGTCACAATAATGCTCTTTTTGTCACATCACAAATGAAGAATAAATAAGCTCCTTCTAATCTTAAGTTTGGGGGCTTTTTGGTTTGTTTTTTTTGGGTTTTTTTGTTTGTTTGTTTTTTGTGTTTTTTTTTTTTTAAAAAACAAATAACAAACCAACGCACATTTATTTTTAAAAAACCCTATTTTTTCCAGGCTGATCAGCAAGGCAGTCTCTTTGGAAGAAGAATAATGTACAGAACTTGGGACTTTGACATTATTTAAGCTGATTAATGATTTGTAAAATGAGGTGTTACCATTCCAGAGCATTTAGTAAGCACGAATCAGGCCTCAAAAGTCCTAATACTGACTTAAAATTCATCATATTCTAGAAGTAATATGCCCTGGACCATTCTTATTTACCCTCTAGCCACTGAAGTCTCCTTTGTGGTTTTCCCCAACCATACAGGCTCCAGCCTTTTCCTCTAAGTGGAGACCAACTCCCAGAGCTCTGGTTAAAAGAAAACAAACCCTCAAACACTCACAGAGCAGAAATAGAGTGTGGAGATGTGAACAGGGGAGCCGGCCCCACAACAAACTTCACTTGTTGCTTGGGGAAGGGATGGGAGGTTGTCGCTGAAATTTATTAAAAAGGAAAAGAGGGGTTGAAACACAGCATGGAGCCAAAAAAAAAAAAAGAAAAAGAAAGAGTTGAAAACTTGCCAGGAAAACAGTAGGCTCAGATATTCCATTGATTTTTGTGTCCACTGATAATAGCAGGCTGCGGAGTGCAACCTGTGTGCACGCCCTCCTATCCTGCCTGCTGATGTATTTATGTCTTTGCTTGATCCTATCTGTCCGAGAGAATTGATTTATTGCCGAAAACAACCGTCAGCAGAGGTTTGCTCTGAGCCGGTATGAAAACATTTCATACGCTAGTGTTGATGGAAAAACCCTGGCCCATCCTGTGTTGTTGATACTAATTCAGGGGACCCCGTGCTGGTAACCAAGCGGGCAGTTTCCTAATGGAGGTGAGGGACTCGAGACACTGGAAAACACAGATGAAAAATATGTTAGTTATTGGGAATTACCACTGTGAAATGGCCATATTAGCTATTGTATACTAAATAGAGGACATTAGTAAGTTTTTCTGGACAGTGCATGAGATTTACTTGTAAAACCATAGAAAAAAAGGTTGCCTCGAACACAGAAAAATATAATCATGGATATCTATTATTTCAACCAAATGCTTTGAAAGAGAAATCTGTGTGCCTTTGAGCCAGCAGCTCAGAGTAATTAAATTTAGCTGTGAAAGAAAAGTATTCTTTCTCCTACAGAAAGCTTTTAACTTACTGTTCAGGAATTTGGCAGGGACTCACTGTCCCTTGAGTCAGAGTAATCCTGCTTGATCTCCCCCACCTCCCCAAGCATCTTCTGTGCTTCTTGTCTGTGTGTACTTCCACCTGATTACATTACGCCTGCAAAGTAGGGTATTCAGAGTTTCAGCTCAATGGATTGAGCCACTGCGAGTCCATAATCAAAAAGGACTTGGAAACGCTGGGAGCCTGGGATGTGTCCCTGTGGGTTCATGGTGATCTGACGGGGCGAGGACGATCGTACTGAGGATGACTGAGATGACTTTTGCAGGACTGCCTACTCGAGCTGCAACAAGCAGGCAAGCTTTCCCGTATGTCTGTGCCCCAAAACATGCTGTTTTCCCTGCTAGCATAGTTGGTCTCATAGAAAATATTCCTTGGGTTTGCAGTCTGTCTTTGATTTTTCTGCTAGGCTGTACTGGCTACAGCAGCTCTACTGTCTGAAGATATTCATATTTAGGGAGAGGCAAAAAGTCTCTCAGCATCAACAAGAAAGAGAAGGGGTAATAATTTCTATTCAACGAGTTCTTCCTTGTAGACAGCTATTTTAGTACTTGAAACTTGCCCTAAAAGGCCTTTTCCAATCCCTTTGGGTTTCTTGGCAAATCAACTATTTTCCAGTCTTTCTCTGTGACACAGCTAGACCAAAATTTGAGTTCACCGAGAAATACTGCGATTGCAGTCCTTTTCACATCTTCTCAGAGGATTTACAACCCAACCTAATCTATGCAGGGCGATGAAACCCAGTCCTGTTTCAGGGCGTTCCTCTTGCTGAGCAACGGGGTCACTGGTGACTGACGGCAGCTGGTAGCCTCCGAAGACAGAGAGGTCAAACTAACCCATGCAAAGTCCTTGGCTTGTGTTTCACAGCTTTCTGGTATTGTCAGTATTAAAATAAGGTGGTTTCACATGTAGTTGAGCCACATGCACAAGAGATGCCATTGTGTTAGCATCCTTGAGAGCTCTTCTCACCCCAGTGCAAGTGTTTTCTTCAGTTGCGGGGGAGGGTCTGGATAGATAAGGCTCTTATAGTCTATGGACATAAATATATATATGTATGTATTTACTGCTGACAGAAAAAGAAAAGATGATTGTGTCTTTTCGGACAACAAAGCATCTTGTTTTCTGGAGCCCATTAGAATGCTTTGCGGATTCCCAACTGATACATTTTTGTTTTAAAGCATTAGAGGCTCACGAGCTGTTGCAGGACTGATCCACACGCAGGAGAAACGCTGTTCTCCCCTCCCTGCCTCCTCCAAAAATTCCTTCCAAAGCCACAGGGTCCTTGCTTTGAGGAGGCCCAAAATTATTACTGGCTTTATTAGCATCCTTCAAATGTTCTGCTCTTTTCCATAAGAAAATATTTTCTCTCACAATAACTGCAGCTATTGGGGATGGGTTTTCTGCTGTACCGGCCAGGAGCTATGGTTTGTTCTCTGCTTTAACTAAACAATTTCATTTTTAATCTCACCCTCTTTTTTTTCATTCCTTCTTGCAACTTTAACTTTTTGACACTGCCTCCAGATACCTTTTAACGCGGTCGGTGGAAATCTGTAACGCTGCCACGGTCCTGTTATTGTTTTGCTCTGATTCTCTGATAGCCACAAGGATGGAGTCCTGCACAGCTTGTCCCGGAGGCAAGTAAATATTGACAGATTAATTCTTCTCAGATGTACAGGCCATAAAGGAGTATTGTTTTAGGATCTGCTCCTGCGAGGTGATTAACACCATCAACTCCTGTTGCCCTGGGTGCATGTGGGGACTTTGCAGGACGGAGGTAGGACCCTTGGTGAGGGTAGCGAGCGTGACCTTGAGTAGCACATGGAGAATGCAGGGCACAGGTTTTCTCCCTGCTTGGGGCAAGCCATGTGTGGGTGCTGCGCACTGAAACACTGCTGTCCCTGGCCTGGCTGCCCGCAAAGTCCTGAATTTGAACTCGCCTTACGGTCCTGAGGGTATCTCCTTCACCTGCCCAGCTGTCCTCAAAGCACCACTGCGGCAGCCTTCCTGCTTTTAGTGGCAAAAAAAAAACCCCTATGGAATTTCAAGCGAAGTTTGAAGTGGGCAGTTCTTTTTTGACCTGCTGTAGACTCCAGGTGGAATACTGTTTTCCCTTCTGCAGACCTTTCAGGTCCCGTTTCTATTCAATTTAATAGGCTTCTGGAGAGCTTTGCTCGGTTTGTCCACCTCACTTGATACAGAGAAATTTTCCACGGGGAAGTGGAATCTGCTTTCCAAAGTTGTGCAACATTTCCCTCTCCTAACAAACCTCCAACAATGCTGCACTGTTCTGTCCCTGCCCATTTTCTGCTTGTATTTTATAAACCCCGCTATGTCTTGCAAAGTGCTGGGATATTTCATTAATGTTTATGTGACCATTCAGTAGAGCAACCGCAACGATCCTGATTGACGTGGGCTGAGGACGTAGCACATGAGTTCATGCAGAAATAGCAATTTAAACCTGTTGACTCTGGGACACGGATTTTACTGTCTCACCGATGCATAAGGCTTTCATGGTCTTGTTTCATATCTAATCTATTCCTAATCCTGCAGCTCTCCAGGACATCAGTTTCAGGGATGACTTTCATTCTTCCCCTTTAAAGATATTTCTAGGGAACAAATCTGTTTCCCTTGCAATAAATATATCAGATTGTGTCAAGAAGCAGTTGTTTTTTCTTCTTGGTGGTGCCTGAGAGAGATGGCTGCTCTCTCTGGATCTCTCTCCCCACAAGGCTCCCACGCTTCTGCCTGCTTGGAGATCTCTTGGACCAAGCCCTGGTGCTGATGCTCCTGGCTCCCACCACGGGACGGCAAAGGAGGAGGGATGGGCGTCCTCTCTGTCCCCTGTCCTGCAGAGCCTGCCTTCCCCTTTGGCGGGCTTTGTGTCCCCGTGGCGGGGTTGCACGCTGGAGTTACCTTTCCTTTCCATCTTTCCCCAGCCATGTGCGGCGTCGTTGCGACGATCTGGTTTCCCGTCTGCGCCCACCGCGAGACCACCATTATGAGCTTCGGCTACTCCCTGTACACGGGCTGGATCGGCTCTGCCCTCTGCCTCTTCGGCGGCTGCGTCATCGTCTGCTGCTCGGGAGACGCCCAGACGTTCGGTGAGAACCGTTTCTACTACGCCTCGGGATCCAGCTCCCCTACCCACGCGAAGAGCGCTCACGTATAAGCATCCTGGGGATGTCCCACGGCTGCCGTCGGATGCTTTGGCTGGTGGGTTTGTGTGCCCTGGGTTTACTTCTACTGACACACACTGCTGTCAGGCTCCCAGGGGAAGATGTAGAAAAGCAGCACAAATGTCTGGTAGTTTGAAGCGTTGTTCTCCCCATCTGTTCCCCCCTTCTCTAGAAAGAAAGCTCCAGCCAGCCCTACCTCTTGGTTCTCCCCATTTTGTCCTGACCACCTACCCCACCTTCTTGCAGTCAGGATGACTCAGATGGTTTGGGGTTGTCGTGTGGGTTTTAGGGTTTTTATTTTATTTTCTAGCTCCCCTGATTGTAGGAGAGTTTAAAGCAATAAGACAGAAATGAGAGAGACACTTTCCTGTTGTTAGAACTCTGGCAGCTTCTCCCACCATGTCACTATTTGCTTTCCCCTGTTCAAGGTCACTGCTTTGGCGCAGTTTGGGCGAGAGGGTAGGGAGGAAGGCTGTACTCTCCAACCAGGCAAATGTTTCTCTTTTGGAACAAGAGTAGGGGAATTTTTTCTGCCTTTCTCTGTAAATACTTTTGTATGACTTTGATCATTATAGTAACAGTGTTTCCCCCACCCCCCCAGTCATCAGTATGAAGGAAAAAGAACTCAAAGGTCCTAATCACACGGTAGATAACAGTGCCTTTTTATACAGTTTTAAATGACTTTGGGGGCTCTAATCCCCATCCTGTGGTTTGGTTTCTTTTTTTCCTTTGTACAGATCAGTTACTAAAAATGTATTTTTACATTTTTTTAAACTCCTTGCTTTCTTCTTCTAAATTTGTGTTCTGTCTTGCATCATTAAAGTAGCCCATTTTAACACACAGTGTAATGTATCTGTTACAATACAATTCTGGTGAATACTGATGATGCCTTTGTACTTTCAGTGAAATACTGTACAATAAATAACAGAGTACCTGCAACCACTGGCTTTTTTCCTTCCTTCCTGTGTGTTTCCGTAGTTAGCTTTTCCATGACAGCAGTTTCCCAATGATTGTGAAGATCTTTTTTTTTTTTTTTTTTTTTAATACGAGTTCAGGACGAGAGATTCTGCTTTGCTGTGTAATTAAGTGGGCCTTTCGGATTTTTTGGGAATATTTGGAATAATCTTCCTCCATGGTACTGACCGCTGTCTTACCAATTCATTCTTTCGATGTTCCCAATAGCATCTTGCACCGTGTGTAATGGGTTTGTGTGGCGAGGTTTTGGT